TATCCAAAAAGCTGTAAGGGAGCAAAGCGTACATTTGCAGGCCATGAACTGCTGCACTGGCATGTCTAGCTGAATGGAGGAATCACTGACTTTAAAAGGAACTGCTGCACTGGCATGTCTAGCTGAATCACTGACTTTAAAAAAGGCAAAATTATAAGAAATACAGTGTTATTTAGGACCATACTGCGAAGAAGGATCATCACAGTTCAGATAACTCTTGTGTTTTTATGACTTCAGTTGCCAGTGCAAAAAAGGTTCTTTGGCATACATGCTGTGCTGGTTTCCCTCCTCCTCCCTGCCCCTCTTATGCAAGCTCCCAAGGCTGGGTACCTTTTAGACGCCAGGGCGTGTTAACCTGCCGCACTTTAACCTTCACCCAACTGCATGCTGCCCTGGGTTAAGCAGGCAAACAAAGGCAGCGATTAAAGGGCAACACCAGAGCCTGGCATGGCACTTCCTGCTCTGGTGCCTGGGTGGAGAGCAAGATCAAGGGACTGACCCTCATGCCATCCTGATGGAGTCTGGTTATGTTTGCCCGTGGAGGCAGAGACCTCCTGGACTTCCTCCTTGAGTCACATACGCTTTCAGGACCATCAGCCTTTCCTTGCCTCCAAAGTCTGTTCCCATTCCCTCCTTCTGCTCCCCCATTATGTAGCTCCACACAGCTTGCTTTGCATAATTTCTGAGCACACATGGTAGGGCTGGGATTTAGATCAAGTGAAGGCAAGAAGTTTAGAATCTATGTGGGAAAACTAGGGAAAGTGTGCTGGGTAAGCTAATATAAGTCTGTCGGGCCAAGGAACAGGGCTAGACCGTACCAGCAGAGAGGAGGGTGAGAGCCAAAAAATCAGGCGGTCAACTCACTTTCCTCTTTTTCTGCCAATCCTCTGTCTTTCTTTCTCCTTCTTTGTCTCCCTCCCCAACCAGTCACTGGGCTGCCAGGGAAGGGACAGCTCAGTCTAGCCAGAGGACTAAATTAATTGCTTGCAGAGGGACTGCCAAGGACTGCAAGTTGCCTACTTCTGAAGAAGAGCTTAGAAAAGTTGCTTATTTATTTGCGATGACAATTCCTCTGCACATACACCCAGCTACCATCCTGCTGGTGGGAGATTCTGGGAATTGTAGTCCAAAAAAGGTCACATTTTTTCCTGGTTCACCTACAGATCACAAACAATGATCTATAGATGAAGCAGAGCTTGAGGGGGGAGAGTTTTCCAGAAATCCTGGGATTGTTCCAGACAGCGTGGCCAGTGGTTTCAGGGAGGCACAGTCCAAAAATGCAACTTTTTCAGGCTGTGGCATGAACCAAACCAGGAGGAGACCTTCTAATGCACACCCCAATATTGATGGAAAAAAGGAAATCACTATTCCTTATTTTCATGAACCCTTTGCTTTGCTTTAGTCCTGCGAGTCCTTTTAAGGTACGCTAAGGCTCAGCTCCAGACAAATCAAGACCCACTTACTGTACAAGTTTAGCCCACAGACCTTTATGCAATATGGGTAGCTGAACAGCCTTGGGATGTGCGTAATAAGAGTTAAAGCAATATGTGTGTCTAAAGTGTCTTTCAACATGTCATGGACTCAATGGAAGCACCTCCAGGTGAGCTTGAGCTCCATCACTTCTAATTTTTTTTAATTAGGCACTGCTTAAACACATCTCATAGTCCTTCCTGGCCTGCACCCCTGTCTCTCCCTTTGTGCTGAATTCAACATGGGCACATTTAAGAATTGTCACTTCCAGAGAGGAAAACTGTATCCTTGTTAAAGCCAGGGAGGATCAAGACAGCTTTAAGGTTTAGCAAAACAAAAACAAAAACCTATGTCCACAATGTGTAGAAGAATCTCCTGCCTAGGAGATTGTAGCTTTTAGAGACAGGAGAGAAGGATATCACTTGAGTCTTTTTTTTAAAAAAATCACAAACAGATGTTTTTATACTAGACAAATCGGTTAACCCACCACCATTGGTATTACTGTCTAGGAATTATCTGCATAAGTCATATATATACTGTAGTGTCTTTGAGATTGGATGTCAGGATGGAACCACTATTGCTCATGTTGTTATTTAGTTGTTTAGTCATGTCCAACTCTTCGTGACCCCACGGACCAGAGCATGCCAGGCCCTCCTGTCTTCCACTGCCTCCCGGAGTTGGGTCAAATTCATGTTGGTTGCTTCGATGACCCTGTCCAGCCATCTCATCCTCTGTCGTCCCCTTCTCCTCTTGCTTTCACATTTTACCAACATCAGGGTCTTTTCCAGGGAGTCTTCTCTTCTCATGAGAACTCCTGCTCGTATGTCCAGTCAAAATATGAATTCAAAGATGAAACATTGGTCTCAAAGGGTATGTGCATTTGTCATGAGAGTGGGCTATGCATGCTTCCTACTCATCTTCCTTACCAACATACAGCCATAGACACTTAATTATACAAAGAGTGACTCTATTTGTGCCCCCAAGCCAATGAAGAGATGCCATTTCAGACTCCTGTTTTATGGCTTACGAAATTACGATTGTTAGGGCAAGCCTTAGCTATAATGATCTCCCTTTACAATTGTGTCCCTCTGGAAATGTATCCACATGTATCAGCTAGACAAGAGCTAATATGTGACACCCAGCAAAGGGTGAGGTGCTTATATACACATATAAAACCAAATACGTAGAAGGCTATGATAACTGGCTGGGTAACTCAGTGAATTAGGTATCTGGTTATGGAGCCAGAGGTTGGGAGTTTGATTTTCTCGGTGCCTCCAAGGAGAAGAGCCAGCCTGTGTAGCCACAGGCAAGCTGCACAGTCCCATGGCATCTCCAAAAGAAGGGAATGATGAAACACTTCTGAGGACTCTTTACCTAGAAACCCTTGAACAGGGTTACCCTAAGTCAGAACTGGCTGGACAGTACAGAATTGTCATTAGAAGTGTGTGAAAAATGAATGTTCTCCGAAATGCGTGTTTGTGGATGCATGTGTGCGTGTGACTGGCTTAGGCAAGCACATGTAAGTATATGTCAAATCAAGATAAGAGACTTGTATGTAACATGTAGTCATATTTGTAGAGGAAAAGAGACCCACCCCAAAACTTGTCCACTGGACTTGATTATCGCCTTGCTCCTTGTACTTCTAGCTGTGGTATATGGGTTGGGTCAGAGTCAGTGTATATCAATCTTTAGGTGGATGTGTTTGCGCGGCCTCTTCTTGCCAATAACCCCTTCCATGAAACCTTCAACTTAACCCCTTGCTTCCCAAGCACAAATTACTGAAGCCAAGTATAACAATGTGTAACTACACTTATATTTATTGTTCTTCTACTTATCTCTTTTATGCACTCTTTTGCCTTTTAATTGTTTTTTATTATTGTGTTTTGTTATTTGTTGATTAATTGTTTAAGTTGTTTTGTTGTTTGTTGTTGATTATAATGTCATATCCTGACTGTCTGTACACCACCCAGAGAGTGCCTGTTCACTATGGGGCAATCAATCAATCGTATCCTTCCCCTTTATCAAAATTCTGAGACTTACAGGCAAGAATCTACGTATTATGGTTTTAACTTCAGAAACTCTAGTAATGACAGTAAGTGTTCAGCATTCTGAATGCTTCTGTACATTCTGAACTTTGGTGGTTTCCCTTTCCCCCTTCTGGCATTTGAAGGTGGTGTAGTGGTGTCTCTAAGGTTGTACATTACTGCTTACTTTGAATGCAGTGGGGTCTAAGTCTGTTTGAATTGTGTCGTAAAGTGGTATTTAAGTATTTGTGATTTGTATGTCCAGCCTTGGATTTGATGTGTTATACAGTATTCTGTACTAGTTTCTATACTATGTGTGCACCCTTGCATGAATCCATGTTGGGGTGTATGTTTATTTCTCAGTGTGTGATGTGAATTGTATGCATTCAAGTATAGATTTATCAACCATGTATTTGATTTGGGTCCTCTTCAAGCAGATGGGAAAACAATACGGCCCGCCAGATGCTGTTGGAGCGCAACTCCCATCATCCTGGCTAGGACTGATGAACGTGGCAGTCCGGCATACTCTGCAGGTTCACTTTTTCAGTCCTGGTATGTTGAGGCACCTTCCTATTGTACAACATTTCCACACGGAAGGCATTTCTGTGAATTAATATGTACGTGACTGACTAAAGCAGGACACAAATTCTTCCAAATAAATGCCTTTCCTGAGAGTTAGCAATATTGGAAGCTCCAGAGAGGCAGCAGAATCAGGTGTGTCTTTGGCTGCCTGGACGGTGAGACTAATCCTGCCATCTCAACGATTTGGGGAGACACCTTTCTTTGTCACGCTCTCTCCCACGTCCTCGCTAAGGAGGCCTTCTTGGTTTCTGGAGCATTTCTAAAATTTATCTTCAACCACAGTAACTTTCTGAAACGAGTTAAAGCCTTTTTTTCCCAGGGTGAAGGAACGACCTGTCAGACATCACCCTAGACGGCTGAAGCGAGGATCCGGAACCGGGATTCTTAGCCCCGATCCCCAACTCCCGTGGCCATGAGAGACACTCAAGAACCCCCTTGTGAAACCGGAACGTGGTGTTCAGGGAGGGGAGGGAGGGCGCCAAAATCGCGCTATTAACAAGACGAAAAAGGATCGAGAGCTTGTGCAGATATTCGCCTTTCTGGCGGCTTACGGCGCCCTCCTCTACCCGTTACTTGGAAGCAAACCCCTCTCTCTCAGGGGGCTTACTCCCAAGAAGAGGATGGCATCAGAAAGCACGCTGAGTCCTCTTTATTTTCGCGTCTCCCTCGCCCGCCTGCGTTTGCTCCCAGGGTCCCC